GATGAGGGCAATGAATGTACAAATGTGCTTTACACAATTGATGTATGTATGGATTGTGATAAGAGTTGTATGAGCCCCTAATAAAATGATTTTTTAAAAAAGACCCCCAGTAACCTTGGCAACAGCCCTGGCCCAAGCCCACATAATGGGAAGAAGCAGAATGTCAGAGTGGATGGAGACTACAGGTTTGATAGGGGAGCAAACTACAAGAAAAGGGGAAACAAAATAAGTCGATGTTCTATTGAACAAACTATAGAACATCAATACAACCAGGACCTGATCCTTAGAGAGAGAATAGAGAGAGATTCAAGAGTTGGATCTTATTTTATACAATTGTCTTAATTAATGACACTATCAATAGAATTAGGAGCCCTGGTAGCATAGTGGTTAGGCTTTGGGCTGCTAACCTCAAGGTCAGCAGTTTGAGACCACCAGGCCCTCTTTGGAAGAAAGATGAGGCCTTTTATTCTGCAAAGAGTTACAGTCTTGAAAACCCATAGAGACAGTTCCACTCTGTCCTGTAGGGTTTCTGTGAGTCCACATCTACTCTACAGGAAGTTTGGCTTTGAGTTATTAATAGAATTTCCTTATGTCCCAGGGGCAGGGGGCTATGATTTATAATGTTCTATATCATAAAATAGTAATCATATCTCTAAAGGAAACCAGAGACATATATAAACTATAGAAAAATGAATAAATTTTGGAGTTGGACCCAATTCTAGGCCTTATCTAAGAACAGTTAGTTCTTAGGACATGGCCCTGCCTGATGCTCGCCCTCATGAAGAGATCACTGAAGATATGTGTCCTATAGCCAAGTGCGGTGAAGAAACCAGATGGTGTCCCGCCATCAGGAGGAATAGTGTCTGTAGTCTCAAAGGCTTGTCTTAAAACAAGCAGCCATCCAAGTGGGGTGTCAACTAAACCCACATGGAAGAAGTCCACCAGCCTGTGTGATCCAAGGATTAGAAACAATAAAATCCAAATTCAAAGAATGGAATGGTATCAGAGCTCAAATTGTGAGCACCTGGTTTGCAGAAGGTTATAGATGACAGTGGTGCCCCAAAACCATTTGCAGGAGCCCCACATGGATTAAGCCTCCATTGATTCCCGATGACCACAGTCGAGGGATGTGAATACCCTTGCTAACAGAGAGCATTGTAAAGCCAGTTATGGCAGATGTAGGGTGTTAGGCAGGGTTCTCTAGAGAAACAAAACCAGGACACTTATGATTACATATGTATATGAGGATAGATAGCTTTATACAATGAGAAGGAATATAACAGCTAATTGGTGCACACAGCACCAAAATCAGTTCAACTCATTTTTGTGGAACAGTTAATATACTAGAAGTCCTTTAACTTGCACGGGCTGCTGGGTCCATGGTCAAGGAAGCAGACAGCAGAGTCCTCCCTCAGGCAAGGCAGGCGGACACACTTCACAGTGGGGTTTGCTTCAGGTGGGTCTGAGTGGAAAGATTATCTAGAGCCAGGACCAGTGGAGAGTGGCCTGCAGAGGGGGTGGGCCTTCGTTGGTCTTGACCTATGGGGTATGCAGGTGGGCTGGTGGGGGGAGGATGTGTGGTGGGTGGGGCCCTCTGGAGGGTTGGGGGATGATGGAGGGCCAGCCCCTCCTATGGGGGGGCCAGGCTGTTGGAGGGTGGGGCCAGAGGAGCAGGGACCTTGGCGGATCTGTGGGGAAGTTCTGTAGGCGCATAAGGGGTGCAGCCTGGGAGAGAGGGCCCAGTGGGATTGGTGGGGCAGGGCTTGGGGAGGGGCATTTAGTGGGGCTGGATTTGCAGATGGGGTGGAACTGGAGGTACCTAGCCCCCCTAGAGAGAGGTACCTGTGGGGGTTTGGCCCACAGAAGGGTGTGGCCTATGGAAGAGATTGAGGGATGGACACAGGGCAGGCTCAGCAGGGGCCACTGGGGGCAGGGCCTTAAGGGGCGATGATGCCTGTGGGGTGGGCTAGACCACCTTGTCCCCTCCCCGTGACCTCCCTGTCTCGCTTGCAGAGGTCAGACCCACAGCTGCTTGCCCAGTTCTACTACGCCGACGAGGAGCTGAACCAGGTGGCGGCTGAGCTGGACAGCCTGGACGGCCGGAAGGACCCGCAGCGGTGCACACTGCTCGTCAGTCAGTTCCGCTCCTGTCAGGTGAGTGGCCCCAGTGGGGTCAGGAGTGGCCAGCCCCCACCTCCCAGGCTTG